AAACGTGCTGACTACAGTATGGTACGCCAACATATTGACTCAGAAATTGTAGTATTACAATGTCATGGTGACAGTCTTCATGGGTAATGCTATAGAACTCCTTGGACTTTTGTCCAAAGTAATGCAGAAGAGATGTGCTGACTACAGTATGGTACGCCAACATATTGACTCAGAAATTGTAGCATTACAAAGTCTACTCTTTTCTGATGGTTAAATTCATGGAACTACAGTCTACTACTCTGGGTGGTAATTTTGGTTACGTCCTTTCAACCTCAACATGTTTGAGGACAACCAGGGGTGTTCAGAAGCTTTTTTCTGCCTCTATTCAACCCCGCTGCTTGGTGAGGGATGTACATATTTGTGAGTATTATAGTTTGTCCTGGATTTGGTTTAACCGGGTCTGGAGCATACATTAAGCTTAGAAAATCAGGCAGCGATGCCTTCGAGGATGCGTCGGGTGGGATAAAGCACTAGGACTAAAAATTTTGGGTGGGTGAGGAGGCCGTCTGTCGGTCCTTTTCAGGGCTAGGATGAGGATCATGGTCCAATTCTCAGAATTTTGCTGTAGGGGAAACGGGAGTACCCCAAGAAAACCTATATACCAAAACCATTTGTTTCAACCTTACTCATTTTTCTTGTGTAGTTGTAGTTGGTACAAATGTAGTAGTGTATGAATAATTCTTTTGACCCAATTTATCAAAGTACACATTTATCAAAAACTTCGCCCGGCATGGCCAGATGGTTAGAGCACTCGACTCGCAATCTGAGGGTCGCGAGTTCAAATCCCCGTCCCACCAAACATGCTCGCCCTTTCAGCCATGGGGGGCGTTATAATGTGATGGTCAATCCCACTATTCGTTGGTAAAAGAGTAGCCCAAGAGTTGGTGATGGGTGGTGATGACTAGCTGCCTTCCCTCTAGTCTTACACTGCAAAATTAGGGACGGCTAGCACAGATAGCCCTCGTGTAGCTTTGCGCGAAATTCAAAACAAACAAACATCAAAAACTTTAGGTGATCCAAAGTCTTTAATGTGTGAATTATTTATCACTAGTTTTATAACTCTTTTTTTTTTAATCAAAAATGTACAAATTAAAATAACTTCTGAAAAATAGAGAGAGGTGCATAAATTCCCATTGATTTTATACTTTTCTTTCTTTAAAAATTCAAAATAACTCAAAAGTTAATTGCCAGAATGAAATAACTGGAAGTTCTAAGATTAATTATATTATTGGAATTTGTTATCTTAAGTTTTCATGTTCTGCTTAATTATTTAATAAAAATATGAACATCTTATTGAATAAAATATTTTTTTACCATAAATAACAACAATAAGTTCTATTTAAGTGTGGCTAATCCAAGACTTTTTGCTTGCCTTGAGTTACAGTGATTATTCATATCATGTGGCCAGAACTGTAACGAGATTACACAGTGAATGAAGAACATCACAAAGCATTGTACACGAAAACGATTATTTGGTGTTTTGTTCAATAGATCTTGGTTAATAATTTCATTGTTATGCATATGATATAAATGTTTTCAGTGCTTTATTAACTGAAGTATCCAATAACGTATGTCTGTAAGTTGAGCAAATATTGCCATATTACTGTCTCATTTTGGTTTATCGTTGTAGTGGCTACATAGAAGAGTGAAGTTTTCTTTATAACACAGATAAAATTTGCAACTATACTTCAAAGTTAGTAAGAACGGCATTTCCATCCTTAAAGAAATTAATATAATTTGTTAATCTGTAACTGCTCTTCTTACACACCGAATTAGTGTTGAGTAAGTTTCATTCTTAATTTGTGATTCATGATTTGAAAATCTTATTTGCTATTTTCAAAAGTTTTTCTTTTTGTCTATCATAATAAACTGTTATGAGCATATAGAAGTTCATTGTTTAAGAACCTTTCTATTTTCAGAAATTAGATTTAATTTTGCAAATTATAATATGATTTTATGTGAACTTATAATGAAACAGAACATAAAAGAATAAAAAATAGCAATTTGGCAAAGTTATTATTAATAGTTGATTTAATATTTGTTTATTTTTCAATTATTCAAACAGTTCATTTTTTAACACTTAATCAAGACTGAACTGTGCTTCATATCCTTTTTGTTTGTTAATAAGTATTAAGTTTATTACCTACAGGAAATATCCATTTCAGCAGTACATCTGTAACCTGATAAAGTTTACACTCGTTATTTACCAAAGATAATTCACTAATGATCAAAATTTGTCCTATTTTTAACTAAAACTATAACTTTTTTATTCATTGTTATAATGACCAAGTATATTTTCATGGTACAAGCTCTTTAATTTAATGATGTATGTGTTGTTGGAAAGCTTTATGTCTTTCACTTAAATGTTGATAGTAGTAAATTGAAGAATGGTCATATAAATCAGTGTTATTAAATAAATAATAGTTTCTATTTTATGTTCCGAGTAATCTGTATCCTGCAATTGTTTTCTTTTAATGTGGGGGGGGGGATAAAATGCCTGAGAGAAAGTTTGTAAAAATATCTAGTTTTCAACAGTTACTTTCTACAGCGATAGTTTTATGAAAATTATCATTTGTTTGGGGTGAAAACCAGAAAGAAATTAATGACCACATGAAACAGTTTTATTTGATTGTTTGGATAAGTTCATATCAAGGTTTAAATTTTATGTTTGTCGATAAAGTTTCATTGTTGTTTTTTTAGCTTCATGAGCCAGGTGAAAAGCCAGAATTAATTATTGATGGATGGAATGCTTGGTTTTATGACAACATTGAAAATTTGGTAAGGAAACAGTTTTTCAACAGAACATATATTGTCAAAAACCTTGTGTGAATTAAGAACATAGAGAAATACTTGTAGCATTAGTGGTTAATAGCTTCATCACAAATGAAAAGTAAAACAAGGCAAGTGGTCATGGTTGCTTATACTAACTATAACTTCTAACATCTGTCACCTTTAGTGTGAGTGTTTTAGTAATTTTTTAGGAACTTGCTATTAAAGTAATGGCTAGATGAAACTTGTTAATTAATAATTTCATACTTATTTTTCATAAAGCCCAGAATCTGGCCCGACTATGGGAAAAATAAAGAAAGTGTTGGTGCATTGTGGCTGGGGTTGCTATGTTTCTACAGTGAAGAATTTAATTTCAAGGAGTTGGTCATTTCTATAAGGCAGAAATCTCAACTTACAAGATTTCATAAACTGTGGAATACAAAAAGTATTGCTATTGAAGGTGGGTTGGTCAATTTCTAGTGTAAAGTTTTGTTCATTTTATAATGTATATTGTTATATTGTGAAAGTATGTGAAACTGTTATAAACAAATCACACATTTTACACAAAATTTAATTCCGATACAATATCTTTCCTCCTCTCACAAAATAGTTTTTTCTCGATTAATGCTGACCTCTATTGCAAATTTTGACTCTCGCCACTAGCCTTCCACCTCCTACTTCTGAGTATCAACATGTAAATGATTATGCAGCAGCTCTCTACCAATAAAATTGCGACACAACCTCTATCCTAACCAGTACTCTTTTCACATTTGCACTCATTAATCACTTCACGATTAGCATTTGTACTGTACAGAAGTGCTTGTTTTTGCTTGCAAATTTATTGATGTTTTCCTTTATATCATACCCCGTTGAATTAGGTAACACACGGGCTACTTGCAAGCATACCTCATGAAAACTTTTTTTATTTTACCTACTTTAATCTATAATTTTTTACATTTCAGTTACTTTTACAATAATAAATAAACAACAAGAAATACAGTACTTACATGGGTATATTTATTTTTACTGTTTATTGTCGAAGAACTTTATCCCTTCTTTTTTACACTATTGATACTACTGCAATAAATAATATTTTTTTGTAATTAAATAATATACCAAAGAATACAGAATAATAAATATCACAACTTTTCTGGCTTTCTAACTATGTGACAAACTCGTTGATGCATTTCTTGATAGAATAAAGTTTGGACTGGAAGTGAAATAGAAAATTCTCTGTACAGAAAACAATATAATACGTTTTGATAGATTAAAACCTTGGCTTTCTATTAGTTATAAATAATATAATATTAAATGTCAGAGAAAACTATTAGCAATTTGTGAAAGAAAGGATGTGATGTGGGTGTGGCATGAGGGGTCTGATTTTCAACTTTATGGCTCTATAACCAAATAAAGTAGAAGGCTATAAAAATTATGCTTTGCCTGAGGGATGACAACATTATGATAAGTAATTTACTATAACTTTCATAATTCTTGGAGAGGCAATAAATAAATTAGAGAAGAAAGGGATACCTAGAGAGCAAATGTCACAATTCTCACACTAGAGAAAATTGAGGATTTTTTGTTTAAATATTGCTTTATAAAATGAAGAACTTAAATAGTGTTAATGACTTGGATTATTATCTACGTTTTTTGCCAAGTGTATTTAAATAACATGATAAGAAAGTAGTTTAAATTTTGAATGTAATTCACTAAAACCTCCTAACATGTACATAAAATGATGCCCATTCTGAAAGAGTTAATATGGTTTATGTATCTTCACAAAATTTGACAAGCCTTCAGTAAACATTACAAGTCTTTTGTAGACAAAAAAAATCAGATTTTTTTTATTAAGTATTTTTACAAAAATTTTATACATGAATATGTTGACTGCTCTGGGTGTAAAGTGATTTTTATGTTAAAAGTTAAGTTCATTTGAAAATAGTCAAATTTCATATGCATAATCTCTACAACCTTTTTAATAAACTTCAAACATTTTTTTTCAGTAAAACTATATTCATTTGTTATTTTCTCTATTATAACTCTATACGAGGTTGTTTAGTTTGATTGACCTCGTAACCACCATAAAAATATATCAAATAAATATACATTACCCTCTTTTCTTTCTAGAATAACTTCAAATTGTAACATAAAACTACATTTATTTTATCTAAATAGCTTTAAACTCTTAACAGTATTCATCTGTTTATACTTAATTTTAATTTACTATTAAACCATGTCTAATAAACAATCCTGCTGTAAATCACTCAGCGAACACATAGCTCAAGTTACCATATCGAATGATATGACCCACAAGCTTCCTGCTAGTATATTTCATGAGTAATTTTTATTTTGTATTTATTTTCATTGTCCTACCTGATCTAACGTTATTTAATTTAATAGGCTTCTAGTTCTTACATTTTAGTTACAATAATAAATACAGAATATACATGAAGATCAAGAAATATCATGAACCATGGTCTAATTCACAATAGGGTTCTCCCAGGATTTTCACAGAAATTCTAATAGAACGTATGGGCAAAAACCATCTTAAAGAAGCAGATGTATTCTCGAAACAACACTCAAGACCTTCTGTCCTAATGGCTTAGGCTACTAAAATATTAATAATAGCAAAAAAAGTTGGATTTTCTGATTGTTAAACAAAATTCATCCATTTGTTCTTCATAGTATTCTTCTTTCATAAGCCTACAGGATAAATAGCTATGAATATTTTATTCAAACTTGGGCAAACCTACTAAAAAAACCTCTGCAAGTTATAGGACTTTTTTTATGTTGATTCTTGAAAGAGAAAGAGAGATTTTATCAGTTTTTTTCATCACTACTAGCCAAGTTTCTCTGTCAAGCCATTCAAGCACTGAATGCTACAGCAAAAACGGTTAGATATACTGTACCAAAATCTATGCACAGCTACTAAACAAATTCCTGTGAAGGTTGTAAGGCTATTTTTAACACGTTCGCTGCCATATGCCCCACCTGCGAGCCACAATGTGACCTTTAGTTATGAACCATGTGACACACCAGTGGGTCACAAACAATTATGTTTCAAAGACAAATTTCTCTTGTGGCATATGAGTTTGGAACACTGTGACTGCTCCTTGGCACCTCTTAAATGTTTAATTATATTTATACTTAATTTATTATGTGGCAGCGAACGTGTTAAGTTAAGTTGAAAGTCGAGATTTCCACCCTATAATATTTTATAAGTTTTTATTTGCTACCAACATAAGACCTTTGAAGTCATTCAAGCATTACAAAAATGTAGAAGCCATTTAAGCACCATTATACTAGTCGTAAATGTTTCGTTTTATTGGAGTAAACAATGTTTATATTTATAACAGTGTCTCCTGCCTTATTATCGTTGATTATAGTTTTACAAACTGAAAAAAAAACGACGACAGATATTTTTTCTGAAACTTGTAAAATAATAATGAATGCAGTATTGAGTATGCCATAGGGTAGTTTTAAAATTAATGCAAGCACCTTCGTTTTTTTTGCCGTGAAGAATTTCTCTAAGTCTTTCATTTTCTGTCATTGAAAAAATCCGGTGTTTTACTAATGCGCATTAATCGGAAAATAATTTGTACAACTTATAACATATTAACTGGAAACTGTCACGTTGAGGATTCATCATATCTCAAGTTTCCTGTTATTCATTGTTCTACTTTGTCTCTCATGTAGTTTTCTGCGACTATAGTAGATTTCTCTGCTCTAGTGAGTGGTGATTTATTGAACTGATTTTTGTACTTTGCTGAAATTGTGAGTGTATATTTTATTATTATTATTCATATTTTTGTTTCATAAGCCTGCAGCAAACTGCCGGGTATTTTGCACCAAAACCTAGACGGCTACACTATATGAAATGCTGTTGAATGTCCGTGACCTATTTTAAAAGTTGATTATTTTTCATTGAAAGTTGATTTACATGGCTATAAAGACATGACGTATGAGATGTTGTTGTGAGCGGCTTACTTTGTACTCAATGCTTATTAAACACATGTTTACGTGAAACCTCAGGCACAAAACCACCTGTTTCAGTAAATAATAGTTGGGTAGAAAAAAGACATTGCACCAGTAAACTGTTGAAAAACTTGTAACATTCAACTGAATGCATATGCACGAATGTAGCTTAAAATTTAATCTCCGTAAATGGACATAAAGAAACTTAAGGTCCAAGATAATTAAAAATTGTTAATTTTAAAAGGGGAATAGGAATCATCAAAAATATTTGTATTTTCAAGCCTACAACTAGGAACTCCAAAAAAGTAAACAAACTAGGCTGAAAATAGTGTACATTATTTTCTCAAGCTACAAATAATGTAATATAGACACTATTTCCAGCCTAGTTTGTATACTTCTTTTGGAGTTCCTAGTTGTAGGCTTGAAAATATACATTTTTATTTTGATTCAACTTGTTCCTGTACTTGTTTGGCAATCCCTATTCCCCTTTTTAAATTAATAATTTTTAATCATATTGTAGTACTTACATTACACCTCTTTTTGCTGTTCGTTGCCAATTAATTTGAAGCCTATTTTTTTATACTAATGGTATTAGTACACTAAATAATTTTTATTTACTTAAATAATGTACCTAATAACAGAATAATATCACACACAAAGCAAACAAATATTATAATTTAACTGGATTTCTAACTATGGCATAAGACCCTTGGAATAATTCCCAAAGCTCTTCAGTCTGAACACTGTGAGAGAAACATTTAAACTGAAAACAAAAAAAAGACAATACTTTGTACTGAAAACAATGTAATATAAGACATCAATTGATAGATTAAGACTATACCTTTCTCTTGGTCATAAATAATATGGTATGAAACGTCAGAGAGAACTATATGTTATTTGTAAAGGAGAGGTGGTCATGGCAAGTAGGTCTGATTTTCTAGTTTATGACTCCCTAAACAAATAAGATTGAAGGCTATAAAAATTAAACTTTTCATTAGTAATATATATATATATATATATATATATTACAATGAGTAATTTACATTAAATTCCATACTTCAGAGAGGGGTAGTAACTAAATTAGAAAAAGGATAAGACCTAGAGAAAAAATTAACAATTCTCATAC